CCAGAGATGAAGGGAGCTGTGGCCCAGCAGGAACATGAGCTTTTGGACTTGACAAATGAACTTGGAAAAAGCCAGATTTGGAAAGATAAAGTTTGGTTTGGTTTGGAAATGGGGGGTTGGATAGACCCCCCTATGCAGGGATGTTTGGACCTTTCAAGTCTGGCAACGGGCCATGAGATGTTTGGGGTTGTGGGGGCTCTTAATTTTGGAGGGATTTTGAAACATGTTCTTAAATACCACATGGAGTTTAGTGTGGACTATGGAAAAGGGGCTGATTTGTCGAGAAGGGTCAAAAACATTGTTAAGCTGGAGTTCCCACGAGTGAAAGGAGCAGGAGACAAAGGAAAATACAGTTATAAATTTGAAGAAGAGCTGTGGAAGGGACATGGAAGAGACTTAAGGGCCTCGGATACAAGGTTACCAGGTTAATGCGCTAGATCGATTGGATAATAAGGACTGACAAAACCCGGGACCAGGAGGAAGGGACACTGGATGAAGATTGGATTGTTTTTATTTCTTTTTTTTACTACTAGGATTGTTTTATAAAATTGATGAATGTTAGAAAAATGTTGGAACGAAATTACTTGGCTTTAGCAAAAATGTTTAAAGAATTATGTAAGAATATTATGGTTATGAGAAGTTGGTAAAAATAAGATTTAAGTTTTAAGCTTTAAGGTTCTTTATAGTAAGATAAGATTAAAATAGATTAAGGTAATGTAATGACAGAATATTATGAAATATGGAAAGGATTTGCTGTGACAATTAACAACTAGGATACAATAAAAGGGAGGAGGAGGAGGTCAAAGAAAGAAGGTAATGACAGTTGAGGATTTGAGAATGATGGATTTGTTTTTGAGTGTTTGTGGTGTATTTTTGTTTTTTGAATTTGTATTGTTTGATGTGGTTTGTTTTTTCTTTGTTTTTTCTTTTTCTTTTTCTGCTTTGTTCTCTTTTGTAATTCTAAAAATTTTCAATAAATATCATTTTAAAAAAAGAAAAGAAAAGGAGGTGATATTTATCTACTTCTCCCCTCTCCTCTTCCCAAAATAATGGCAGACCCTTGGCTTTTTCTGCAATGTAATTTGCTAGCTGGGTTTCCTGCTATGTATGTAGAGGGGATTTTGTGTTTGGCAACATGAATCTCAACATGACACCTTTTATCTTACCTATGCAAAGTCTCTCTCCCTCCCTCCCCTGAAAGGAATGTGTAACTAATTTGTGGCTTTGACTGAATCTTTGGTGGAAAAGTGTCATCGTGAATGGGAGACTGGTAACCTCTGTTTTTCTCACCACATCAACTGAATGCATTGAAAAGCCAAAGAAGAGGCATTAGATGTGGGAGGGCAGATCCACACCCAGCACACAGTTAAAGTACATGGGGCATAACTTCCCCCTAAGAATCTTGGGAACTGTAGTTTTCCCCTCATTTCCCAGCACCCTTAGCTAACCACAGAGAATTAAGCATGAGTTTTGAAACATGGCACCATTAATTGGTCAGAGTTTATCTGACACCCCAGTATAAACCATAGGCCTGTCCAGTTGACTGGCTGTACTTCTCCCAGTTGGTACCAAGCCTTTTCTCGCAGCAAGGTGGGCCAGGAATTGGTAAAATTGGGCCACCTATGAATAAATAGTGAAGGAGATGGATAACCAATGGAAATTAAAACCTTATGAGGAAGTTAAAGGTTTCGTGAATGATTGGTTGCATTATTGTCAAATTAACGAAATGTTTAAAAATGATAAAAAGAAAAATGGATTTGGATATACATAATTGAGATTTGAATTAGAACTGTTTTTTTTATTGGGTTTTATAAACAAGAATAATGTTGTACAAACAAGTATACCAAGTTTTCTCATGTCATTTGTATATCACAAAAACTAGCCTTTATGAGACAGAAAGCAACTCTCCACAAGCATAGACAGTCTCTTTCTCACTCACCAGCATACCCAAGAAATGGAGCCCAGGGTGTCACTATACCAAAACCCTCAATTGTCCCATTTACATCAGGGCATCCTGTTTTTTCATGTGAGAGCACAGCACCCATTTTGGGCATTATCACCTTGCCCCAGAAAAAGGGGTTTGGGGGGGTCTGTGATCCCCCCCATTTTTTGGTGCCAACATGACCCTGAAAAGGCACATCTTTCTGGGAGTTGCCCCAGCACTGGACATGTGTTCCAGTTTTTCACCTTGACATGTTGGAAGGTATGGTATACAGGGCCCAACGTAGCAGTTCGAAAGCATGCCTGTGCAAGTAGATAAATAGGTACCACTGCGATGGGAAGGTAAACGGCATTTCTGTGCGCTCTGGTTTCCAACATGGTGTCCCAATGTGCCAGAAGCTGTTTGGTCCTGCTGGCCACATGAGCTGGAAAGCTGTCTTTGGACAAACGCTGTCTCCCTCGGCCTGAAAGTAAGATAAGCGCTGCAACCCCATAGTCACCTTTGACTGGACTTAACCATTCAGGGGTCCTTTTACCTTTTTTATCTAGACATAGATGGAAACTGCCTAATAAAGATTCTTCTGTTCTATGTTTTCCAGAGGGGGTAGTGATATATATCTGACCAATATGAGGTAAGAGATACCATCTTCTGTGGATACAGATGAGTATAAACTGCTTTGAGACCCTTGGGATAGTAAGTGGTATATGAATGAATGAATGAATGAATGAATGAACGAACGAACGAACGAACGAATGAATGAAATGATGAGGCATCACAGCTTTTTTCATTAGTATTTCTTCTTCCCTGGGATGTTTTGTTTCAACTGTGCTAAGATTGTTGGCCACTGAATGGGCCATGTTGGTTTTCTAGCCTCAAAATTCTGTGATAGATAATTGCATTGTGAGGTTGTGGCTGCAAAAGGATTTTGGTGGTGGCTTTAAATAAATAATTGGAATCTTTCAAGGGGACTGAGTGCTGCCTAACAGATAAATCTTTCACTAGATAAAGTGTTACATTAATTGAAGCCTCCCATTTGGCCTAGAATGCCTGCATTTTTAAAGAGTTTGCTTTCTGGTAGAGATCAAGCAGTTTGATTTTTTTTCTTTCTGACTCCAGTGTTGGAGTGATGTGTCACAGTGCTCATACCAAAAGTCCTGGGTTGTGGCTCCTTTCATTTTGATCATATTTTGCTCAGAGGTGAAACTCAGTGAATTCAGAATTGCAGCTCTTTCTCCCTGCAGTGGAATATACAAGAACTCCACACTTGTTGGCAATTATGCACGTAGGTAATTTGTTTTGGCCTTCAACAAGTCTTTAGACCCAACAGCTTGGCATAGCTCTTATTGTTTATGTTTAGTACAGCCTAAGTAGGAATAAAGCTTTTAAGCTGTGACCTTTTGAGATGACCTCCATAATTCAATTACTGTGTTTGGCCACTTGTGAACAATTTGGTAAAGTGTGGCTGTGGAGAAAATCCGCATAGTATGGATCACTGAGTAACTTGTAAACATGCGTTACTACTCCTAGCAAACCCATGATTCTTGCCAAGTGGGTCATAGGGTGTTTATTTCTACAGTGGTACCTCTGGTTCCGAACTTAATTCATTCTGGAGGTCCGTTTTTAAGCTGAAACCATTCTTATCCTAAGGCGCACTTTCGCTAATGGGGCCTCCTGCTGCACGTGCACCTCTGGTGCGTGATTTCCGTTCACATCCCGGGGCAAAATTTGAAACCAGGAGCAGCTACTTCAGGTTAGCGGAGCTCGTAACCTGAAGCGTTCATAAACTGATGCGTTTGTAACCAGAAGCATTCATAACCAGAGGTACCACTGTAATTCCTAGTTGTTTAAACAAAGTGGGCTGGGTGTTGGAATTGAAATCACAGAGTGGATAGCAGTTTGCATGTTCTGTAATTTGAATGCCTAGTCTATCAGCATTTATGCAGAATGGAGATCCATTTGGACATTATATCTGCTGCACTTGCCTTGACCACCATAGCTAGGCCACAAATCCTGTTTGCACCTGCAAGCATTTTGAGGCGATCACAATTTTGGGGATTAAATAAATGGAGAGTGGGCTTCCTCTGCTCTCCATTTATTTATTCTCCACCAACCCACGCAAAACTGCGATCATCTAGAATCTAAAATAAGTGCACAATGTGAGTTACCTGTATTTTAAAATAATCAGGGTAATCCTATTGAAATTAATGGACATGAGTTTCTTAGATCCTTCGATTTTAATGGGTTACCTGTTAGTAGAACATTGTCAGATGTAACACTCAGATTTTTATGTACTTTGTAGGAAAATGTAAGCATAAATAAAACGAATGTACTGTTGCACACCAGCCCCATCTCTGAGTGCTGTGAGATTCCGGGGGTTCCAGGTCCTTACTCAGGGGATGTGTTTCCTTTTGGAAATGAGGCACAGCTGAGACTGTGGTGTCTTTGAAATATGGTTTATTAACACATATATACAACCTGAGCATGTGATGGAAGGGTTTGAAGCATTGCACTCTTTCTTAGCCCAGACAAAAATCTACTATCGTGTTCTGGCCCTTTCCCCAGCTTTCTTGTCTTTAGCAGCCTGCAACCCTGTCCCCACCCCCCACCCCCAGGTCACACCATGACCAACCCTAAATCTCTCCTTCAAATTGTACCTTGGTCTTCTAAGTGAGTTGAGGGAGGAACCCGGATCCCCCTCTTTTCGGCTTTCCTAATGGCTCGTCACCTTTTGTTCTCCTATCACTCCAGGTGATTTCCTCATCACAAAACTGGCCTGGCATATATTTTAACATTTGCTGAATCCAGGGTTCGGTGCCTGGCAACCAGAAACTCATGACACAGTTGAGTCTGAAATGAATTGGACAGGGGAGTCTGGCACCCACAAACTCATAATATTTCACTTTCTTGCAGCCTAAAGAAAGCTGTTTGTCTAGATATTTTCTAAATAAATGGAATAAAACCACCTAACCCACTGACAGATATATTTGAAAAATGAATATTAAGGGGAACAATGCCCATTGTTAAGCCAGGTAGGTAAAGTAATGGTGTCATGTCCTCCATTGTGACACGTCCCCCTGCTGAGTGACTTGGCTGAGAACTTTGGGAAGAGCAACCATTTGAGGACAGCAAGTGAGGGAGAGCAGAGCAGAGCAAGTGAGAAACTCAAGATGTTCCGTGAGGGAATGAAGAGACTCTCTTCGTCTCAAGTGTAAGTAGGATTTCTAATTCTTTCTGCATTCTGCTTCTTTCACCATCCCTCAAGATTTAGAAACACGGGGAACTATGTCATGGTTAGATTAATTTTTAAAGATTGTCCTCAGGACTACCACAGATGCTTTGAGGGAAATGGCTTCTCCCTTGTTGGCATCATCACAAGAAGAGCATCTCCCAGTATTGGAAGGTCTTTTGACAAGATGCCCCCCTCCATTAGAGTTCTGACAGCAAATTCAGCTGCCAGGTACCCCAAATTCAGTGCAGAGATAGAGAGTATGAAGGATGTAACTAGAATCCATTTTATGACCGTCTCCCTGTTCTTCCTTAGGTTTCAGAAGCTGCGCAGGCTTCTGGCCTCCTGTTGTCACACCCTCAAAATCCATCCCCTGGTCTACAAGAAGGAGAGAGAGGCAGAGGAAGTGATGGTTATGAAGGATGAGAAGGTAATACCAGTGAAATTAAGAGTCATCTATGTTCATCCCATCGACCAGGGGATGGTTGCCACCCGCCGTGATTTGCAAGGTGAGAGATGACCTGTTTTCATGAGGAACTGTGAGGCCAGAGAGAATCTGGCTCTCGGGGGAGGAAGGATTCAAGAAGGGTTCAGGGACATCCATTTTGAAGGAGAGAACAATTTCTGTTTACCTCTGTGCTTTTTCATTATGGTGTAGTGCCCACTGCAGTCTCTCAGGTTTGCAGGTGTGCCTATCGGTTCAAAAGGGTTGGCAACCCAAGTTAGACTGCTGGACTAGGACTGGGGGACCAGGGTTCAAATCCCCCCATGGAATTTAATGGGCAATCTTGGGCACTCACTGCCTCTTGGCCTAACCTACCTCACAGATCTGTTGTGAGGATGGGATGAGGAGGGGAGAATAGCATAAGCCACCTTAAGACCCTTACAGGAAAGATGGGTTATCAATGTGATAATGCATGAATAATAAATGAAAAAATAAGAATATTTTTTCTTTTCTATTCCAGGCAGCGACAGCAGTGAGACCAGCAGCTCCAGCACAGCTACCCCACCCCAAGGCCCAGTTCCCTTTCCCCACAAAACCAAATATCAAAATAAATAGGTAATTATTTTACACTACTTCTTGACTTTGACATTTTTGTTCAATTCTAATAAAGGTCCTATTACAAACATGCGATTCCTTGATCATGCTTTTATCCTTGGAGGTGCTTTGTGTCAGGGAAGAGTTAGAAATTTCCAGTTTCTCAGCGGGAGAAAGCATTCCCCAAGGGGGGAGGAGAGCAGTGCATCTAATAGAAGGGAGCAAGAGGAACAACAGGGAGGGACCGGCTGTTCCCAGGAAAGGCAAGGGTTCAGTTCTAGCTCAGATTGGGAGGAGGGGAGATACAGGCCAGCTCTAGCCAGGAGGGTAGGAAAAAGAGCGGGGAAAGCGAAGGGAAAGGCGCCTTCGCCATTTTGAGGGTGGCTGGTCACGGAGAAGCAGAGCTCAGAAGGTATCTGAAAGAAGTGACTCTGAGGAATAATAGTTAAGAACCGTTTATAAGATTGTTTTGTTAATACGCAATAAAAAGTTATAAAAGACCAGAAGCGTTTGTGTGGTGATCTGAAGAGGACAACAGCCAGTCCTGACAGAATACCTTCTGCTCTGTGCCTCTTCACTATAAGTAAAGAAGGAGAAGCCAAAATGGAGGGAGCTGTGGCGCCAGTTGGGCAAGGAGAAACCCCAGCGCTCCAGCTAACATTACAGGACTTATGGCAACAGAACTTACAGTTGAAAAGTCAAGTTGATATACTATCGGCAGCACTGGGAGAACATAGAACCATGCTGCAAGCGATGTGTGGAGATAGAGTGAGTAAAACATTTACTGTACGTCCACGTAGCTTCAAGGGAGAAACCTCTGAATACATGGCTTTCAAGACAGAAATTTCTTACATAATTGAGATAAAGGATAAAGAATTTCAATCTGAGCAAGAGAAGGTTGCTTATGTGATTAATTTCTTGGAAGGGAGGGCTAAGGACTGTGTTATACCCCTAATATCTCGAAGGGATGCCGCCCTAGGAAATCTACAAATTTTTCTGCAATATCTAGACACGATTTTCTTAGACCCTGCGCATGAAATAACCACAGCTAGGCAGCTGTTGAGAATGAGACAAGGAAAAGACACTGTGGGAGTTTATTGGTCCAACTTTAGTTTGCTGGTGCAGAAATTAAAATGGGATCTGAATTCCCCAACAGTTGCAGCCCTTTTTAGGGAAGGACTGAATAATGAGATTTTAGACCAACTGGCCCAAATGCCAGAACCTAGTTCCTTGGACTCTCTGGTCCAAACGTGCCTGCAATTGAGCCTACGCGTGGAACGGAGGGCTAGTGAAAAGAAGGAACAATGGAGACTGCGGTGGCGCGAAAACAATATTATCGAAAGTACAGAGAACAGAGCGGGCAACGTGCCAGGACGAGAGCGGCCAGAGCCCATGGAATTAGGAGCAGCCAGACCCCTCCCAGTTACTACCTCTTCCATGGTAAGAGGAAATGCAGGGAGAGGAAGAGACACGACACGTTGCTTCGTCTGTGGAAAACCAGGGCATCTAGCACAACAATGTCACAATCGTAAAGGATGGGAATCTCTGTGTGGAGCAGACATGGGAGGAGACGATGGCCCAAAGGAACTGCATCAGGGAAACGAATGTCCCCGGCTGGAAATGGGAGCTTGCAGCCGGGTGGAGGAACAATAGAAGGCTCTCACGCGGAACCACCTATTCCAGGACTAACGGTGAAGGTGCAACTACAACTACCCAATGGACATAGGGTCCAGGTAGAGGCGCTGTTAGACTCAGGAGCGTCAGCAGATTTCATAGACCAGAAATTGGTACAGGAACACAAAATCGCTTTGTTACCTTTGAATTTCCCACTGCGAGTGAAAACAATCGACGGCAGACCGCTACTGTCAGGAGAAGTGACTTATGAGACTCCACCAATGAGAATGGATATGGGTCATCACTCAGAGACCAGGGCATTTCATGTGACCAAACTAGCTGGGCACCCGATGGTGCTGGGCATGAGTTGGCTCAATTGTCACAATCTGGTGATTGCCTAGCATCAAAGGTCTTTGGTTTTTGGTTCGATCTATTGTATAACACATTGTTTGGGGTAAAACGGAAAAATCTCGGTGGAAGTAATGGGAACAGAGGTGGAAGGGAAGTTGATGGGGAATGAAAGTGAGATTCCGTCACAATATATTGCTTATCGGGATGTTTTTTGTGAAAAAGAAGCAGATAAACTTCCACCACATAGGCCCTATGATGGCAAAATAGATCTAGTCCCTGGGGCACTGTTGCCACCAAGAAAGATATATGCCATGTTGGAAGTATAATCTGCAGCATTGAGGGAGTTCCTGCAAAAGAATTTGCAGAGAGGTTTTATTAGAGAGTCCACGGCCTCGGAGGGTGCTCCTGTCTTTTTTGTCAAAAAGAAAGGGGAGGAAGGGGCACCAAGATTAGTATGTGACTTCAGAATCCTTAACAGCCAAATGAAGCCTCGCGTGTGCCCACTTCCACGTATAGATGACCTCTTAGAGAGAGTAAGGTCAGCCAAAGTCTTTACCAAGCTTGATCTACGAGGGGCATATAATCTGATAAAGGTCAGAGAAGGGAATGAGTGGAAAACCAGTTTTTGTATTAATATGGTGCATTTGAATTCTTGGTAATGCCTTTTGGCTTGCAAAATGGCTCAGGGGTATTTCAAACCTTCATCAATCACGTCTTAGCAGGTATACTGGATCAGTTCTGTGTCTCTTATTTAGATGACCTCTTAATATATAGTGAAAGTATGGAGGAACACGTAAAACATGTCACGCAGGTGTTAGAGAGATTGAGGACCAACAGGTTATATGTGAAGTTAGAGAAGTGTAAGTTCCACACACAAAAGGTGGAGTTCCTGGGATATTGCATTTCCCACAAAGGGGTGCACATGGACACTGAAACCTGAAACCTGGTGGGATAAGTCCCACGATTGGAATGTAATATTGGGGTAATAATAAGTCCCACGATTGGAATGTAATAATGGGGGGATACAATCTATTTCAGAGAAACAGACCAGACAAGAAAGGAGGAGGTGTGGCGTTATATGTCAGGGATGTGTATACCTGTGAAGAGATCCAAGATTTAGAACCTCAAAGCCAAAGTGAGAGCATTTGGGTCAAAATTAAGGGAGAGAAGAATAACAGTGACCTCATTGTGGGAGTTTACTATAGATCCCCAAGCCAAACGGAGGACATAGATGATGCCTTCCTGGAACAGATGGCCAAGCATGCAAAAGGAAGGGAGATAGTAGTAATGGGGACTTCAATTACCCGGATATTTGTTGGATGTCAAACTCAGCCAAGAGCATAAGGTCAAACAGATTCCTCACTGGCCTTGCAGACAACTTCATTGTCCAGAAAGTGGGAGAAGCAACAAGAGGAACAGCCATTTTAGATCTGGTCCTAACCAATGTTGATGACCTGGTTAGTGGGGTAGAAGTGGAAGGATCATTAGGCGCGAGTGATCATGCTCTTCTGAAGTTTACTATACAGCGGAAAGAAGCAGCCAAGCATACTAGGACTCAATTTCTTGACTTTAAGAAAGCCGACTTCATAAAACTTAGGGAAGTGCTGGGTGAGATCCCATGGACAGTAATACTAAAAGGAAAGGGTGCTGGGAGTTTGTTAAGAGGGAGATACTAAAAGCACAACGTCAGGCAATACCAATGAGACGGAAACATGGAAGGTGCCTAAAGAAGCCAGGGTGGCTATCTAAAGAACTTTTAACTGAGTTAAGATTAAAAAGGATGTGTACAAAAATGGAAAAGGGGGAAACCACCAAAGAGGAATTCAAACAAATAGCTAGCACGTGTAGACACAAAGTCAGAAAAGCTAAAGCACAGAATGAACTCAGGCTTGCTAGAGAGGTTAAAAGCAACAAAAAAGGCTTTTATGGGTATGTTCAGTAGCAAAAGGAAGAACAAAGAAACAGTGGGGTCACTCAGAGGAGAAGATGGTGAAATGCAAACAGGGGACACAGAAAGGGCTGAACTCCTCAATGCCTTCTTTGCCTCAGTCTTCTCCGATAAAGAAAACAATGCCCGACCTGAAGAATTTGGAGCAAATGATTCAGCAAAGGAAACACAGCCCAGAATAACAAAGGAGATAGTACAAGAATACTTGGCTAGTTTAGATGTATTCAAGTCTCAAGGGCCAGATGAACTGCATCCAAGAGTATTAAAAGAACTGGCAGATGTGATCTCAGAACCACTGGCAGTCATCTTTGAGAATTCCTGGAGAACAGGCGAAGTCCCGGCAGACTGGAGGAGGGCAAATGTTGTCCCTATTTTCAAAAAGGGAAAAGAGAGAACCCAAATAATTACCGCCCAGTCAGTCTGACATCAATACCAGGGAAGATTCTGGAGCAGATCATTAAGCAAACAGTCTGTGAGCACCTAGAAAGGAATGCTGTGATCACCAATAGTCAGCATGGATTTCTGAAAAATAAGTCATGTCAGACTAACCTGATCTCGTTTTTGACAGAATTACAAGCCTGGTAGATGAAGGGAACGCAGTGGATGTAGCCTACCTTGATTTCAGCAAGGCATTTGACAAGGTGCCCCATGATATTCTTGTAAAGAAGCTGGTAAAATGCGGTCTTGACTATGCTACCACTCAGTGGATTTGTAACTGGCTGACTGACCGAACCCAAAGGGTGCTCATCAATGGTTCCTCTTCATCCTGGAGAAGAGTGACTAGTGGGGTGCCACAGGGTTCTGTCTTGGGCCCGGTCTTATTCAACATCTTTATCAACGACTTGGATGATGGACTCAAGGGCATCCTGATCAAATTTGCAGATGACACCAAACTGGGAGGGGTAGCTAACACCCCAGAGGACAGGATCACACTTCAAAACGACCTTGGCAGATTAGAGAACTGGGCCAAAACAAACAAGATGAATTTTAACAGGGAGAAATGTAAAGTATTGCACTTGGGCAAAAAAATGAGAGGCACAAATACAAGATGGGGGACACCTGGCTTGAGAGCAGTACATGTGAAAAGGATCTAGGAGTCTTGGTTGACCACAAACTTGACATGAGCCAACAGTGTGACGCGGCAGCTAAAAAGCCAATGCAATTCTGGGCTGCATCAATAGGAGTATAGCATCTAGATCAAGGGAAGTAATAGTGCCACTGTATTCTGCTCTGGTCAGACCTCACCTGGAGTACTGTGTCCAGTTCTGGGCACCACAGTTCAAGAAGGACACTGACAAACTGGAACGTGTCCAGAGGAGGGCAACCGAAATGGTCAAAGGCCTGGAAACGATGCCTTATGAGGAACGGCTAAGGGAGCTGGGCATGTTTAGCCTGGAGAAGAGGAGGTTAAGGGGTGATATGATAGCCATGTTCAAATATATAAAAGGATGTCACATAGAGGAGGGAGAAAGGTTGTTTTCTGCTGCTCCAGAGAAGCGGACACGGAGCAATGGATCCAAACTACAAGAAAGAAGATTCCACCTAAACCTTAGGAAGAACTTCCTGACAGTAAGAGCTGTTCGACAGTGGAATTTGCTGCCAAGGAGTGTGGTGGAGTCTCCTTCTTTGGAGGTCTTTAAGCAGAGGCTTGACAACCATATGTCAGGAGTGCTCTGATGGTGTTTCCTGCTTGGCAGGGGGTTGGACTCGATGGCCCTTGTGGTCTCTTCCAACTCTATGATTCTATGATTCTATGACACCCCTTCAGGCAGTGGTGGAATGGGAGGCACCTAAAACTAAGAAAGATCTACAGAGGTTTTTAGGATTTGCTAATTTCTATTGTAAATTCATAGGTAATTACTCCAAAATCACAACGCCACTGACTGATTGTCCAAGAGGCAAGGTCAAACTGCAGGAGTATATAGTTTGCCTCCTTCCCTTGTGGTGTTGTTGTTCCTAAATGGAAGGAAGTATGCAAGTGTGAAGACAAGACAGAGTTTGGGGTGGTAGGGGAGACATTGCATTCAGTTTGTTCATTTAAAAGTGAACCTATCCCATACACACATTTTGGAACAGTATAGTGATAGGCCACCCCAATGTATGTTGAGGGGTGCATATTTCAAGGGTCTTGGCACTTGGCCAGGGTTTGTGCTTCCTTGGAATGAGGCACAACAGAGACTGCAGTGTATTTTTTATGTGTAGTACATTCAGATATGTATACAACCCCGGTTTTGGATGCAGGGGTGCACAGCATTACAGCACACAAGGGGCTTGTTCCCTACAGCAAAGCAGCATCTGATTGCAAGACGTCTTCATGTTAGGGATCATGGAAGACGGAACAGGAAAAGGGTGCAGATAACTTTAAGGATGTTTTCTATGAGTTCTGGGTGCGGTTTTCCAGGCTAATTAGGCATAGGTGGTGATGTGTATAAAGAGAGAAAAAGTTGCAGTTTGCAACTGCCTGCAGAAAGAGAACACCCACATGCTTTGTGTTTGTTGTTTGTATAGTCATAATAAAATTCTTGTTTGAGTATTTTACATCAGTCTCGTGGTTCTGTCGTCTGCCACCAGGAAAAATTCGCCTCTGATACTTCATGCTACTGCCCTAGCCTGCCTTCGGCAAGCCCAATAAGGTGGTTCTGACCTTCAGACTCCATAAGGAGTTATTCTAATTTCTGCCTCCTTTTTCCCATAACACTGTGCCAAAAACCTCTGGGTAAAAGACAATTTTTTTCTTGTATGACATCACACCCATGTTGCCTTGGCAACCTCCCCCTCAGTTACCCTGTTGTCTTGTAAATGGCTTTTGTCATAGGCTAGAGGCAGGACCATCATCTCCCTCTGTCCTTCAATCTGTTGGAAAAACAGGGTCAGCCTGTCAGCTCACCTAAATTCTCAAAGCTCTGCTGAAACCCCAGCACACAAGGGGGAAATCGGGCACCCAGGAATCTGGGGGATCCCTGTTCTCCCACTAAACCATCACACAATGCAATCAAAACTCAGCTGAACACAGGAATAAACTTCTCCAGGCAAGTCATATGCACAAATATATATATAGTAGATATCTTGTGCATATATTTGTGAAAATAACATACAAAAATGAATTGTATTAGAGAAAATTGCTAAAATGTGTACATTAGACAAAAGCGCACCAGCCCATCTGATTGGATGGTACTTCCAAAACAACAACAAGAGAATAGTTAATATAAGAAATCATCATTAAGAATTTGGATTTGAAAGCACTCCCGTTAATATTGTCAAATTATTCTTTGGGAGTGAAATTGGCATTGTTCAAGGTTGCTGCTGCTCACATGGGAAGTTGCATAGTAAGCAAACGAGGAAGCTATTGCAGAGCTGGGTACCAAGAGTGACCACAGGCAACTCGCCATTTACAAGGGGTTTATGTTCTGAGGGGCCATGCATTTAAGTGAAATGACTTATATTTGAAACTACATTGGAAACCCTTGCAAATGCCCTGCCCCTTTTTGTAAAGTTTTGTGATGTGACTTTTTAGCTCACTTCTGAGTTTGGCATGATGTGCACGTGTGGTTACACACATATTGGACACACCTAAAATGGTCGCTGCCTGTATTGAAAAATTCTCTATCATCTCTAGTCTTTAATGCCACATGCACAAGATTACACTGTGTAAATTGATCTGGATTAATTAAACCCACTAGTTCCATAATCAAAATTGCTTCCCACACCACCCCCTTATTGATTAATGTATTATTTAAATATAGTAATGGACAGATAATAATTTACAAATAAGGATCAATACAATGTCACTCATTGACCAGAAACCTTTCTCATAATCACATGTCAGATTGTCTTTTGTGAATGAAATAAAACTGTTTCAAATAGTTTTTAATAACCAAAAATGTAGCGCTTGGGGTACATTTAAACAAGGTTTAGATCGACCCTCCAGGCGTTGCCAGATTACAGCTCCCACAATCCCTTTGGCTGTGCTGGCTGGGCTTGATGGGAAATGGAGTCCAACAACTTTCAGATTTCCCATGTCTGCTTCATTTAACATGGTTTCCCAACATTTTGCAAAAACTAGTGTTGCCTCATTCATTGGATTAAAAGTGACTTCACGGTGATATTTTGGTATACCATCTTTGATATAGTATTCCTCCTTTATCCATAAAATCCACCAAGGATGAGAAAGCCACTGTCAATTACAGCAACAGAATGGTTAAGGCATACAAAGGAGTAACGTATCAATAACAGATCTTGAGTATATATCTTAACAGGCAAGTGTGCTCCTAAACAAGATTGAGGTTACCATGAATATGAGCCCCAGAGGAGGTGTGTTCAGGCATTTGCCTGAGTGCACAAATGCTCAAACAGCGTCCAGGGCAGGGAAGTACACGAAAGCTTGCCTCCAGTCTACTGGTGTGTGCCACCCCATCTGCTCAGTCCCCGACCCTTCTCCAAGTTGAGAGGGGAAGATCTCATGAGAGCTTTTACTCACATTTGCTTACACATGAGTAGAACCCTGATAAAGCAGGTTCCCCAATTGCATGGAGGGTTCTACAGATGTTGCTGTACTACAACTCCCAGCTGCCCCAGCCAGCATGGCCAATTGTCAGGGATGTTGCAGTCCAGCAACATCTAGAGGGCCATAGGTTCCTCATCCTGAACTAAAGTAACTGAGAAATAACTAAGTATGTCTCTAAACTGAACTGAGGTCTTCATCATTCATCATTCTGATTTTAATGTTCATCATTTATTGTTGAGCTTTTGACCTCTCCCACAGAGCTAAGGGATGAGGGATCATAGCATTGCTTCCAAAACAGGGGATGGGAAAATGCTGGATTCCAGCTACCATCATAGCTTACCATTCCATGCTGGCTGGGGCTGATGGAAGTTGGACTCCAACAATATTTAGAGGGCAATCACTTCCCTACACCTGTTGCAAAAGGTCCCAGGTTCAGTCTTCTAGGCATGTCTATTTAAAAGATCGCAGATGATAGAGGGGCAAGAGAGATTTCTTGCCTGAGCCTTTGGTGCATTGCTGCAAGCCAGAGCAGTGTTGGGTTAGAGTCCCACAAGTCTTTTTACATTTTGCATTTGGTGTTTGCATGCAGGGCTCAGAGAATATCAGGAGACTTTGACAGCCATCTAAATCCAACAATTAGAGCTCTAAACTGGCTGGATGCAACTTGTCATTCCTCTTTCATGAGTGCAACAATGCTAGTTCCATGGTCAGTAAACATTGCCATTGTATTTAGCACTATGCCACTAATCCCGGCAGGCTTGCTTGGTAAACAATCTATCCTTTCAAAAGCCAAGCTGTCAGAGTGGAAAGGGGTTTATAAACTGCGGTTGTAAAATGAGATGCCATGTGCATTCATCTGCAAAGAAAATGCTAATAAATGTTTCCAATCAGTTCATAATCTTTACTCCTAACTTCAGGTCACATTTCACCTTATCCGATGCTCCTGCAAACTTTAACATCAAGACTCTGAGGTTGTGTGGAATGACACACCATCTTTGTACTATTAGCAGGCTGCCTAGACTTGGCCACTAATGCCATTGTGTGCCTGTTGAATATTGACTACTCTATCTTGACAGTGGAATCATTCCAGGGTCAAGAAAATAATTATATAGATGTCATCCTGTTTTGCTCCATGAACAGCTCATGCAGTAACAATTCATTCTTATGCCGCATTCTCTGCAAACAGCATAATTAGGAAACAACAGAGGAATTTAGGCTTTTCAGCAGCAGGTTGACAAAACGCCTCATGGTCTGTGTGCAATTTATAACAAGTTAGAAGCATAACAGTGAAAGAATGCATTTTTATTTGTTTCCTAATAACATATTATTTTAGATCCTTTTTTCTGACAGGTGTTTTGTGCATTTAATGGTGATGAGCGGATAAATGTGATTCAGTTCACATTTAAGGGCAAACCTACCAAACTTGTACTTTTTGGAAAAATGTGTGGAACAAAACACAACCATCTTCTGAAATCTGCAATGCTGTTCTCCAGGCAAGTAATTGTGCAAAAATGCAAATTTTAGTGCATTTTCATAATGCAGATATGCATTATATCAGAGGAAATTATTTTTACTATTGCAATTTATTGCCTGGTCTTCATCCCAAGATCCCAGGGCAGGTCCTAACAATTAAAACACAACATTAAAAACAGTCCAAGACAAATTACAATAACAGAAATAAGGAGGGCCCTAAAATATATATCTCTGAACTATCAAAAGCCGGGGTAAAGAGGTGCATCTTCAGTGTTCACTGAAAAATGCATAATGAAAGTGCCAGACCCAAAGCTCTGTGAGGAGGGAATTCTAGAACTTAGGGGCTGTCCCAGAGAATGCCTCTCCCAGTGGGCCCTTCTGCCGATCTCGGCACCCAAGCAGGGCTGCAGGGAAGGAGGCAGTCTTCCAGGTATTTAAGGCTGGAACCACTGAGGTATTTAAACACTAACGCTAACACTTGAATTGGGCCCAGAAATGAACTGGCAACCAGTGCAACTGTTATAAAACAGGGGTTATGTGAGATCTAAAGGGAGCCCCAGCCAATAATCTGGCAGTTGCATTCTGGACCCATTGAAGTTTCTGCGTTGTCTTCAAGGGCAGCCCCACATAGTGCGCATTGGAAGCTCCCAGAGCATGAAATACGATGGCCAAGTCATTTCTGTCCAAAAGGGCCTGTAGCTGGTGAATCCCTCCTGCCCACGAGGCCGCTGAGCCTCCACTGACAGCGCTGACTCTTTCCGGGGGTGGGCAACCCCATCCAGGGCAGGCCGTCTCCCCACATGAGAATGGGGGCACAGAAGAACTTTCAGGATTCAGCTTCAGTTTATTTGCCCACATCCAACCCATCACTGCCTCCAGATTAAGCAAAATTTGTACACTAAATTCTGAGGAAGTTTGATGGGGACTGTGGCAAACCCACTCTATCTTTTATAACTACCAAGGGTTATCCTGCTTGTTGTGTGAGGAAAAACTTTGATACTTGGACAATAAGGCAAAGTTGAAGAAAGAAGAAAGGATTTATTTTACAGAACAAAACTGGTGAAACAAAAGATGCGTCAGGAGAGAAAATTCTTTCAGGAAACAGTTAACTTTGAGTTATTTCACTTCGGTTCCTTAACTCAGGTGTAGCCTAGGTGTTGCAGCTTAATATTTTGGTTCTTAAACAAGGTGGCACTTTCTGCCAGTTTCCCAACTCCTGAAGCCACACTCCTGAGGTATTTCTAATAGTATAACAGACCCAGGGGGTCCCCACCCCCCTCCGAACTGGTTTGGGAGTTTTCTCTTTCCTGACTGAAATGAGTGTTCCCTCACAGCTCCTTGCTCAGCCTCAGCCTCCCAGGGGCTTCTTGTCTGAATATGCTCCCAAGACACTAAACACTCTATTTCAGTCCGAGCTCAGAGACTCCCTTCTCTCGCTGTGGATGTTGCACCCCAGCCCAGACCCAGCCCTCCATCTCCCCTCAGAACAAGCTCCTTCTCTCCCTCTCTAAAGCGCCTCACTTTTCCCTCCCCAAGTGCTGGCTCCGCCCTCCTCTGGCTGGCCAATCAGAGAGAGGTCCCAGCCCCCTGGTGGAATTCTGGGGCACTGCACCACCAGACTCTGGTCTAGCTCAGCTGTCCATCACAAGGACAGAAGAAAGATTGCAGACGGGCGGAAATGCAGAGAGGAGAAACGAGAAGCAGAGAGAAACCGAAAGTGACAGATCTCAAGCAGAAATTCAACAGGGGTAACAACTTCCTTGCAGGAAGGGAGGAACTGCCCCTGTTGGATTTCTAGTGCAGAGCCTATCTTTGGAGAATAGGTGGCAAGCCTAATTCTAATCAGAAGTCCTCAGCTCAAATATTAAGTCAATCATTAATTTACTGGGTGGTTTTAGACAACCAACTAAATAAATTGCCAAAATTCCAAAAGGAAAAAATTATTATATTAAATGCACCAATTAACACCTCAGAAGTTTCAGATGCCACCAAACAAGCAAAAATAGGTAAATCACCAGGCCCAGGTGGATTAACAGGAAAATATTACAAAAAATTACAAAGTTATTTAAATCAGTTGTTACAAAATGTAATGAATGAAATATTAAACGCAGGGAAAATACCAAAGACCTGGAAAGAGGCTTTTATTACTTTGATTCCAAAGCAAGAGACAGATACATTGGAAGTTAAAATTTTTAGACCAATTTCATTATTAAATAGTGATTATAAATTGTTTACAAATATATTAGCTAATAGAATAAAGGGCATATTGTTAGAAACAATTAATCAGGATCAAACAGGATTTCTCCCAGGGAGACAGAAGAAGGATAATATAAGGAATGTAATAGATATTATTTGGAAGTAATGAATGAAAAACGGGCAGCTATGATGTTTATTGATGCTGAAAAAGCATCAATTCATGGGTTTCATGGGCTTTGATGTTGAAGGTCCTGGACAAGATGAATTTGGGAGAGTTGTTTAAAAGAGGAATAGAAGCCATTTATTCAGAGAAACAAGCAAGGTTAATAATTAATAATATTACTACAAAAGAATGTAAAATAATGAAAGGAGAAAGACAAGGATGTCCCCTGTCACTGTCACTGTTTATTTTAGTATTAGAAGTCCTGGTGAGGAATATAAGGGCAGATGAAACCATTAGAGGAATAACAGTAGAATATAAGGTATTTGCAGATGATCTAGTGATTACAGTGGAAGATCCTATAAATTCATTATTGCATTAGAAAAAAATATAGGAATTTGGACAAGTATCAGGTTTCAAATTGAACAAAAATAAAAAACTCTTAGTAAAAAATATCTCAGAACAAGATAAAAAAGAGAGGACCAAAATACATATACATACAAAAGTGAAATATCTGGGGATATGGTTAACAGCAAAGCACATTAATATATTTAAAGATAATTATGAAAAAATATGGAAAGAAATAAAAAGGAATTTAGAGATATGGGCAAGAATGAATTTGTCACTACAGTGGTACCTCTACTTATGAACACCTCTGGTTATGTATCCTTTGGGATAGACACATGGCAAACCCGGAAGTATTTTCCCGGGTTTTGCCATGTGCGCATGCGCAGAAGCACTCCATCGTGCCGCATGCATGCGCAGAACAAGCACCTCTGGTTGTGAAAACCTCAGGATCTGACCAGAGCTCCAGAATGGAACCTGTCCGCAACTGGAGGTACCACTGTATTAGGAAGAATATTGGTAATTAAGGTATTTTTATTTCAAATAATCCCAGTGATAAGCAATGCGAGTTGCTTCAAAGAGTGGCAGAAATATATTTTGAGATTTATCTGGCGAGGAAAGAAGCCAAGAATAAAATATAAATTATTAACAGATCTTAAAGACAGAGGTGGCTTCTCCTTACCAGATTTAAAATTATATTACGAAGCTTCTTGCATATGCTGGATCCGGGATTGGATAGTATTAAAAAATACAGATTTATTAGACCTAGAAGGACATGATAATAGATTTGGTTGGCATGTGTATCTGTGGTATCAGAAGGCAAAAGTACACAAAAGCTTCAACAATCATATAATAAGAAATACGATTTTAAAGTTTGGGGAAAATATAAAGATTTGCTAGAACAAAAAACACCACCACTTTCCTCACTGGAAGCAACATCTGTAAAAAAATTAAATATGAAACCTAATTGGGCAACATATAGAGAGTTGTTAACGGAAATGGATAACCAATTAAAATTGAAGGATTTTCAAGAGGTAAGAGGAAATGTAACAGATTGGCTACAATATTTCCAGTTAAATGAAGTATTCAAAAATGATAAAAAGAAAGGATTCACCTACAAAATCTCAAATTTCAAGAGAGAAATAATAGAAAGTGGTACTAAATTATTATCAAAAATGTACAGTGGTACCTCGGGTTACATACGCTTCAGGTTACATACGCTTCAGGTTACAGACTCCACTAACCCAGAAATAGTGCTTCAGGTTAAGAACTTTGCTTCAGGATGAGAACAGAAATTGGTCTCCGGCGGCGCGGCAGCAGCAGGAGGCCCCATTAGCTAAAGTGGTGCCTCAGGTTAAGAACAGTTTCAGGTTCAGAACGGATCTCTGGAACGAATTAAATACTTAACCCGAGGTACCACTGTATAACTTGTTGTTGGAATGGGAAACTAAAGATGAAGAAGTTATGTGTCTTATGATAAAGTGGGCAAAAGATGTGGGACATAATATTCAGATGACAGCTTGTGAAAGACTATGGAAAAATGATATAGTCCTTACTTAAAGAGAATTATATGAAAATGAGTGGCTGGGGAAACTCAGCCAGATGGGCGGAATATAAATAAATTATTATTATTATTATATTATTATTATACTG